CAGTTTTTGTAAATTTTTATTCATAAATAGTATCATAATTGTTCATAAACTGTCATTGAACATTCATTTGAGTACTCTATGAATCTATACTGAACAATAGCTAATATAAACGATTTGATTAAATAACGAATATAATATTTTATTAAAATAAAATATTATTTGTATGAAATAATTAATTATATTTACGATGTAATACACTATCAATACACCAACGCATAAAATTCGGTTAGAAATCATTTGTGTAAAACATTATGTCGCGTCGTGCATTCAAGTTCAAGAAGTGTGCTCTATTCTCTTTTTGCATAGTATCTAATAAAATAATATTATCGTTATAATTAATTATTTCATTCGTAGTTTTCAAAAGAACGATAAAATACAAAACAGTAAACAATTGTACTGTTGTTTCTTGAAATAACTTGAGTCAAAAAATTCACAAACTGTTTATTCTGTAAAATCATAATATTTCTATCATATTATATTTTATTAAAATAAATCGAATGTATAAATAATTTAGTCATTAATAATAAAATATAATATTTATGTTTTTTTTTTTTTTAATTCAATTGTATAGAATAAAATAATAATATCTTATATTCATTGCCGAGAAAAGATTATATATTAGTTGATATTTAATAAATATTATTTTATTCTTTTATTCTTGAATGCTTGCTGAACTGAATATGCGGCTCTGCTGCTATATCTAAACACGCTGACCGTGAATAACCGTTTGTTCGAGGGTCAGAAAACATGCAAGATTTTAGCCTAAATGGTGATTGTTATTAGAATTGAATGACTGGAGAACCATACGAAATTTTAACAATGTATTATAATTTATATGGTTTCTTTATGAAAATATAGAAATATTGTCAATAATTGCTGCAATCTAAATGTAATTTGCATTTCAATAAGTGATCAATCACACAGATTGCTCTCTACTAGCTAAACAGTAAAAGATACGAAAAAACTTTGTTCGTACGAAAGATGCAGAATAAAATCACGAATAAAATGATATATAAATCGTTATGTGTGTTCATATAATTTTTTCGAGATTATCTAATTTTTCTTAAATTTTAAGGAAATATGTAAATAATACCTAAATATACAAAATTTATATTCGACAATAGTAAAATTTCATAATAATTCATTATAACTTTATAATAATACTATTATAATTTTATAACAATTCATTTATTTATGATTATTAATAAATTTTGTACGATAATTATTAGTAAATCTTTCCACGATCACTAAGCCACGCCCTTTTTTAAAAACACGCGTCAAAATTAACTATAATATTATTATTTTGTTTATGCATAATCATTATTTTATTCTCCTTGTCGAGACTAACAAAATGCTATAAGGTATTATGATATTGACATTGATATCTAGCGTAAATGTTTGTTGAAACATTTAGGCCACTATACAGCGTAAGTTCCTAAACACGACGACCGTGAATAACCGCTCGTTCGAGGGTCAGAAAACATGCGAGATTTTAGCCTGAATTGCGAATGTTATAAAAATCAAATCATTAACAAACCCTACAATTTTTTTTTTTAAATATACAAATTCTATAATCGATATTAGTGAAATTCAATAATAATTGATAACATAATAACATATAAATGTGTTAATATTTGATAATAAAACAAGAATTATTTATTTGGTTTTAAAATCACTACAAAAATTAATATACTTATATAGATTTTTTTTTATATTTATTTTAAATGTTTTATAACAACGTAACTAATAAATAAAGTTATTATTTTGTACATTTATTTATGATTATTAATAAATTTTGTACGATAATTATTAGTAAAACTTTCCACGATCACTAAGCCACGCCCCTTTTTAAAAACACGCGTCAAAATTCACTATAACATTATTATTTTCTTTATGAATAATTATTATTTTATTCTTCTCGTCGAGACTAACAAATTGCTATAAGGTATTATGGTATTGACATTGATATCTAGCGTAAATGCTTGCTGAAACATTTAGGCCACTATACAGCGGCAGTTCCTAAACACGACGACCGTGAATAACCGTTTGCTCGAGGGTCAGAAAACATGCGAGATTTTAGCCTGAATTGCGAATGTTATAAAAATCAAATCATTAACAAACCCTACAATTTTTTTTTTTAAATATACAAATTCTATAATCGATATTAGTGAAATTCAATAATAATTGATAACATAATAACATATAAATGTGCTAATATTCGATAATAAAACAAGAATTATTTATTTGATGTTGAAATCACTACAAAAATTAATATACTTATATAGATTTTTTTTATATTCATTTTAAATGATTTATAACAACGTAACTAATAAATAAAGTTATTATTTCGTACATTTATAACCTTAAATATTCTTTGATTCATTCAAACAAATGTTGTTATTTATATTTATTTAAATAAAAATATCTAAAATCAATTAAATTATATACCGAATGTTATGATAAAAAAATTAAAATAAATTAAAATGAGTATTGAATAGTAAATTAAATAGTATTATAAATAAAATAGTAAAATAATAAATAAATAGTAAAATAATATATGTTCATTTTTTGAATAAAGTTGTTCGTCCTGAGAAGGACGGTTTTATGTCAATTTGCGACAATAAAAGAAATTTAAGCTTTCTTTTCTGTCTTCTTTGGCAAAAGCACAGCTTGTATGTTCGGCAATACACCGCCCTGAGCAATCGTAACACCCGATAACAGTTTGTTGAGTTCCTCGTCATTGCGGATGGCCAGTTGCAAATGACGCGGAATTATTCTGGTCTTCTTGTTGTCGCGAGCCGCATTGCCGGCTAACTCGAGAACTTCGGCGGCCAGATATTCCATGACTGCAGCGAGGTAGACGGGTGCACCAGCGCCGACACGCTCGGCATAGTTGCCTTTGCGTAGCAAACGATGAATACGACCGACTGGAAACTGAAGACCGGCACGGTTAGACCGTGACTTAGCCTTTCCCTTGACTTTACCGCCTTTGCCTCGACCAGACATGTTTACAGGTTCGTGTTCAAACTGAGAATGATATCAAAGTTCTCGAACGGGCCCGTATAGATTTCTGAGCGTTGCAAGCACACGCCCATTTTTTTGTAGACACGCCCCTCCCTTGCCTACGTACGTTGTTACGGCTTCAGTCAAAACGTTGAAGCAGTACGAAAACGGAGCGTCGGCACGACTCATTTCGTATCAGTCAGTGTACTAGTAAACATCAGACATGCCACCGAAAACCAGCGGTAAAGCGGCTAAGAAAGCAGGCAAAGCCCAGAAAAATATTTCAAAGGGCGACAAGAAGAAGAAACGTAAGCGCAAGGAGAGCTATGCCATTTATATTTACAAAGTCTTGAAACAAGTCCATCCTGACACGGGCATTTCGAGCAAGGCGATGAGCATCATGAACAGCTTTGTGAATGATATCTTCGAGCGTATAGCGGCCGAGGCATCGCGTTTGGCTCACTACAACAAACGCTCTACAATCACTAGTCGGGAAATTCAGACAGCAGTCCGGCTATTGCTACCAGGCGAGTTGGCCAAACACGCCGTCAGCGAAGGTACTAAGGCCGTAACCAAGTACACCAGCTCGAAATAAAATGATGAAGATTTTGTGATGCCACTTATATGTTCTGTCGACAATAACAAAGGCCCTTCTCAGGGCCCACAAATATTTTACAAAAGAACTTTATAATTTTTACATTGGTTTTATAGATAAAATAAAATAACCTGACACTAATGATATTTTATTAGGATTTTCAATAAATTTTGATCAGATTTCTATTAGAGATCGTTATTATTAATTTATATTATAAATAATGTTCAATTTCTATATATTTTCAATATGATAAAAATTAATGATTGAATATTCAATTCAATTTAAAACTTTAGTTTTTCAAATTTAGTTAATAAGTTTAAGTTTATTTTAATTTATTATAAAATATATTTATATTAAAAAAAATCGCAATTTAAATATTTTCGTAAAAATAAAATTATTGTCGTAAATATTTTAAAAATTTTATTATTTAAATATATAAAATATATTATTACATATTATATAAATTTAAATAATATGCAAAATTTAATAAATTCATTCATTTAATTGAGCTCCTTCAATTCAGAGCCCTTTTCGAAGCCCTTAACTGTAAAGTATACTAATACTAAAAGTATACTCTATTTTCTATTAATTGAAGCCCCCCCATGTAAGAAAAGAAATCAATTGCATATAAAAAGTCAATACGAAAAAATAGTAAAATATATATTAATTAATACTTTCTTTAAAACATATTCGAAGGGCTTTCCAATTTGATAATATTATCAATAATATTACCAAAGCAAGTTATTCTGCAAGAAAATAAACAAATTTCATATAAAATCAAATAAAGCCTGTACGTAAATTGTAAAATATATTACTTGTTCTTTTAATTATATTTGACAGCCCTTAAAAGGGCTCTTTTTTGTTTTGTATTTATAAGAAATGACTGCGTCCGTTGATCAATTTAACCGCCGAAACCGTACAGTGTACGACCCTGACGTTTGAGCGCATATACGACATCCATAGCGGTTACGGTCTTCCTCTTGGCGTGCTCGGTGTATGTGACTGCATCGCGGATAACGTTCTCGAGAAACACTTTCAGAACACCGCGGGTCTCTTCGTAGATTAGACCCGAGATACGCTTGACGCCGCCACGGCGAGCAAGACGACGTATAGCCGGCTTTGTAATACCTTGGATATTATCGCGAAGAACTTTCCTGTGTCGCTTAGCGCCACCCTTTCCGAGTCCCTTACCACCTTTGCCACGGCCGGTCATTTTTCAATATATCGCAGTCGGGATAAATTTACAAATTGATGTTAACAGCTCGAAGTCTGAATAACGACTGAATTCCGACGAGCGAAATTATTGAAAAGTTTGAGCTCGCTAGGCCACGCCCATCATAGCTATGCGAGCATTCGGCGCCGACCAATGACAGCCGAGCACAGCATCGGACATTCGTAATGTATTTTGATCATAATATTCGAGCCGGACGCGTCAGTATCAAAACGATCGTCAAACGAGAAGGTTCTCGAAACGAAATCTAGGAGTTATAATGGCCCGTACGAAGCAGACAGCTCGCAAGTCCACCGGTGGCAAGGCGCCCCGTAAGCAGCTTGCAACGAAAGCGGCTCGCAAGAGCGCGCCGGCGACCGGCGGTGTGAAGAAGCCGCATCGTTATCGGCCTGGCACCGTAGCTCTGCGTGAGATCCGTCGTTACCAGAAGAGCACCGAGCTTCTCATACGAAAGTTGCCGTTCCAACGTCTAGTGCGCGAGATCGCTCAGGACTTCAAGACCGATCTGCGTTTTCAGAGCTCCGCCGTCATGGCATTGCAGGAAGCTAGCGAGGCCTATTTGGTTGGCCTGTTCGAAGATACAAACTTGTGCGCGATCCACGCCAAGCGCGTAACCATCATGCCCAAGGATATTCAACTAGCTCGGCGTATTCGAGGAGAACGCGCTTAGACGCCTGTCGTCCTATAAAACAAATCGGTCCTTTTCAGGACCACCAAAATGATCAATTAAAAGAACTTTTATTATTTTTCAAATTATTTTATTTTGCAGAATTATTCCATCGATACGTTAGAAATTTTTATTGATTTTTTTTTTTAATTGAAATTATTGACAACACACATGATTTGACTTGTTGAATAGTGTGTTGTTGTGTTAAGTTTAAAAAATATTATAGTTGAATTTGTAAAATTCGTCATGAATTTCTGAAAGCTTCTTTAAAAAATTCTAAATTTAATTAATATGGGCGAGTTGCCGTTCTGATGATAGAAATTTATATTATATATATTATATTATATATATTTATATATATAAATATTTTTTTTTTGATTGTATATTTTTTAATTTCATATATAGTTATTTAAAGTTATATAAATTTTCTTTTTCGAATACGATATGAAAAAAAGATTGAAACTTCATAAATTATTAATGATTATATTTTATTTCATTAATTAATTTCCATTTACTTATTATTTATATAAAAAAAAATTAGAAAAAATTATGAATTTAATTATTATGAGAGTTGCCGTTCTATGTATAGTTGATTTATTTAAAGTGATATATAAAACTTTTATTAATAAATTATTGATTATATTTCATTTGATTAAGATAATTTATTCATATAAAATTATTTAAAAAAAAATAATAAATAAATAAATAAAATTCAGCGATTGATATTGAACAACTCCCTACCAAAGACGAAATTGAAAATTGAAAAGACTTTGACTTTTAAATTTCGTCAATGACACAACACGGCGGCGAGGAACACAGCGAGCGTTGCTGCGCTCCTGTTACAAATATTTTATTAAAATTTTTTCCGAAGTCCACGAAAAGGCTATAATATAAGATGATAAGATATATATAAGTAAAATAATAATGTTCTTTGATAAAAATTTATTGTTAGTCCTGAAAAGGACTTTGTGCAAACATTTTCGTTTGCTGTTGTGTAAAAAGATAATGAAATGTTTTCACTTCTTTTTCGGTGACGCTTTTTTCAAAGGTTTGGCTACTTTTGATGTCTTCTTTGGCGATTTAGGTTTCTTTGCGGCTGCGGTCTTGACGGTTTTCTTCGTTTTGCTCGTTGCCTTGGCCGATGAGGCTTTCGTCGACTTACCCTGAATGGTCTTCTTCTTATCGACTGTCGTCTTAGGTTTCGCCGACGACTTTTTTAATGTGCCCGCTGCGGATGCAGACTTCTTTTTAGGGGACGAAGCAGGTTTGGCGGCGCCCTTCGACTTTGCTGTCTTCGATTTTGCTTTTGCCGCTGGCGTCTTAGCGGTCCTGGCTTTTCCAGCCGAAACACCGCTTTCGCCGCCGCTCTGTTTAGCGTTCGCGGCAAGTTTGAACGAACCCGAAGCACCTTTGCCTTTTGTTTGAATCAGTGTGCCCGCTTGAACAGCTGACTTTAAATACTTTTTAATGAACGTTGACATTTTCTCGGCGTCGATTTTATAATTGGCCGACATATATTTCTTAATCGCCTGCAGCGACGATCCGCCGCGTTCTTTCAGACTTTTAATAGCGTTGTTTACCATTTCAGATGTAGGAGGATGGGACGGCTTCACTCGCGGTTTTTTAACAGCCGCAGTCTTGCCCTTTTTCGGCGATGCTGTCGCTGGCGCAGCGGTTGCCGCCGGCGACGTAGATAAAGCGTTATCTGACATTATAGTAAAAAATCGTAGGTTAAAATGTAAATCTAACACGTGATTGGTTAAATATGTTAGGGGCGTGGCCAAAAACTATATTCGAAAAGTGTAGGACCGAGGAGAAAACAATAATATTTGAAAATTTTACAAAAATGTAAATTATTTGTAAAAAATTAAGAGAGTTCGGTCTGAACCGCCGAGCAGTGCACATCGTAGAGCAAAAGTGAAATAGTTATAGTGGTTTAAAAGCCTATGTTAATGAAAATAATTAAAAAACAAGGTGCTAAAATTAAAGTAACTAAAAATGTAAATGTAATAAATACTATTAAAGAAATGGCTTCCAACCCGTCGACATCGACGCGCACGATGGAAGCCACAAAACAGTTACAAAACGAGTTTCCGAAAGGCAAATTTATTGGTGTTAACAAATTTGAACCTTTAGCTTGTACTAATGTCAGCAAAGAAGTGGCTAAAATACTAAACATTGACAATAAAGATAGTGTGTGTGATGATAATAGTGAAAATGTAAAGAGACGCCGTGTAAATCCTGAAATAAGTGATGAACAAAGTATTAAAAATAGTGAAAAGAAAGTGAACGCATGTGAAAAAGATCGTTTACCTTCAAAAATGCCACCCATTATTATCAATGATGACTTCAGTGATTATAAAACCATATGTGACATAAACAAAGTGACAATTAACAAAATAAGTGTGACATATAAAGGTGAAAAACAATACATAGTGCGTACAAACAACATTCACGATTTTAAAATTGTGTATGACAAATTAAAAACCCTGAAAAAAAAATTTTTTACGTTTCCTCAAAAAGAGCAAACGCTTCAAAAGATTGTAGCCACAGGTGTACCACCAAACACCGATCCCCAAACAATCATGACCGAACTTTTAAATGAATTCTGTCGAGTAAAACATGTTATTCAAATGACTAAAGTGGATAGTCTTGGCAGAAGACTAAAACTCCCAGTTTATGCCATATTATTCGACCACGAACAGGACATGCAGATAATACGAAACAAAAAACTGCTAGCTGGCTTCTCGGTTAAATGGGAGCGCTACAAGTCAAATGGTAACATAATCCAATGTTATAATTGCCAAAATTTCGGACACACGTCAAGTTATTGCAATATGGACTTCAGATGTGTCAAATGTAAAAACGAACATAAGCCGTTTGAATGTACCAAAACAACTTTAGAAAAACCAAAATGTGTAAATTGTAACGAGGAACATCCCGCAAACTACAGGCAATGCTCTACGTATTTGAAACTTAAAGAGAAACGACTTGAGCTCCTAGCAAAAGCAAAACAGAAAATATTTATACCAGCGCCACCTCCACCACCGCTCATCAGAAAATTCAATGCCGTTATTAGCGATCAGAGACAATTCCCTAGCTTACCGCAACACCATACTCCACTAAACAATATAAATACCGAAGATGGACAAGCAGTAAGAGAGACTACACCTCAAATATTAGACGAACAAGGCACCACAGAAACTGAAAACTCAACATTAAAAGGTATGCTCGCAAACTTTAATTTTATTAAACAGGTCTTTGAAAAACCAGCTATCTAAGCATCTTTCAATAGATTATTGAATCTTGCAAAAATCCTCAATACAGCTAATGAAAATGATATTGATAACATTCTAATTGAACATTTTACAAATAGCAAATAAATGTCTAATACAGTTAATATTCTCTATTGGAACGCAAGGGGGCTTCTCTCCAATGCGGTTGAATTTAAATTACTTTTAAATAAATACAAAATTGATATAGCTCTTGTTTCTGAAACATTACTTAAACCAAAAACAAATTTTTTTATCCCCAATTTTATTGTATATAGAAAAGACATAACGGAAAATGGCGGTCGCGGTACGGCTCTTATCATAAGAAAATCAATTAAACATGAATATATAGAAACCAATATCCTCAAACATGCTGAAGCAACAGCGATTACAGTAACCTACGGTAAACAAGAAATCGCAGTTGTTTCAGCATACTTCCCAAACAATAAACTGTGCGAATCTGATTTGGACGCACTGGCTAAAATACGACCGCATACTATAGTGGCGGGCGATTTTAATGCCAGACATCCAACTTGGAGATGCAGCAACAAAAACACAAATGGCATTAAACTAAACAACTATGTTTTCAATAATATTGAAGAATTACAGCTACATTTTCCTCATACACCAACACATTACCCAGATATTCCCCATCATACTCCTAGCACAATAGACTTAGCAATAACACACAATATACAAAACATTTCTGCACTTAAGACATTAGATTCCACCAACTCCGACCACAATCCAGTTATACTAAATATAGCAACTGGAAACACTTCAATTCATGAGCAAACACACATAAAGTATTTCGACTACAACCTAGCAAATTGGCATAAATTCAGACAAATACTAAACAAAAATATTTCTATGAAACAATCACTTGACACTACTACTGACATTGACACAGCTGTTATTAACCTAACCACAAACATACAAAATGCAATATCCGCATCGATTCCTTTAGTTAAAAATAAATCTAAGCAAAATATTCCACCTGAAATCTTACAACTTATCAAACATAAAAATAGAATTAGAAAACAATGGCAACTATCACGAAATCCGCTTCTCAAACCTCTGCTCAACAAACTAACCAAAGAAATATCCGAATCCCTAAAAAATCATTATAACCAAAAATGGGAAATTAAAATGGAACAAACCAACAAAAATCACAATAACATTTGGCGATTAGCCAAACAACTAACCTCACCACCTGAACCCATACCACACTTAAAAACCAAAAATAAGACTATCTACACGGACAAAGACAAAGCAAATTTAATAGCTCATGAATTCAAAAAAGTACATAACCAAAACTCAAAACTAGGACACGATTACACAAACAATCTTGTCAATAGTACTCACGAAATATACTTCTCACATTTTAAACCAACACGTGACATAACAATGTGGACAAAACCTCGTCATATTAAAAATATCATTAAAAAATTTAAGAACAAAAAGGCTCCAGGCAATGACCGGATACAAAACATTATTCTTAAAAATCTTCCCAATAAAACACTAGTAGTTATAACAAAAATAATTAATGCAATGCTAGATTTAGGTTTTTTTCCAAATCCATGGAAAACATCCCTGATCCTGCCATTTTCGAAGCCAAAAAAACCACCTGAAAAACCCACTAGTTACAGACCAATTAGTTTACTTTGCACTTTGAGTAAAGTAGCTGAAAAGGTTATTCTAAAACTTTTTAAACGACATACTGAACTAAACAAACTAATTCCAAACACCCAGTATGGGTTCAGGAATCACCACTCTACTTTACACCCTCTATCTATACTAAATACCCACATTAAAGAAAAATTCAAAGTAAAACAACATACCGGAATGATATTATTAGACATAGAAAAAGCCTTCGATACAGTTTGGCACGAAGGGTTGCTATTCAAAATGATTAGCCAAAAGTTTCCAGCAAACCTAACACACATAATAAAATCTTATCTCGAAAATAGATATTTTAGAGTCATTATAAATTCCTCACATTCAAAACCCATCCTTATTACCTCCGGACTCCCTCAAGGATCCATCCTTTCACCCGCACTATTCACCTTTTACACACATGATTTCCCACATAATAACGACACCGAACTATTGATGTTCGCCGACGACACCGCCATTTTCACGTCAAACAAATCTTTCAAAAAAATAGAAAAGAACTTACAACACCACTTACACAATATATCGAATTACTTTGAAAAATGGAAAATTAAGTTAAATGTAAAGAAAACAGAGGCTATTTTATTTACTAGAAAAACAAAAAAATTTATTCCTCAAAGTCCAGTTAAAATTAAAAATGCGAGCATCCCATGGAAAATACAAGTTAAATACCTTGGACTGTTGTTAGATAGGAAAATGAACTTTACAGCAATGATTAATAATAAACTAGCTCTCAGCCATTCCATAATGCAAAAAATTCAACCACTTCTACGTAACAAAAAACTGAATTTAAAAAATAAAAGACGGCTTTATCTTGCACTGATAAGACCAATCCTCACATACGGTGCTCCTGTCTGGAGCAAAACTTCAAAATCCAATATTACTTTATTACAAAGAATGCAAAACAAAAATATGAGAATTATTTTAAATAAAGTTTTTAATGAAAGAACAAATAAATATTACTCTAACAAAATATTACATAAAGAAGCCAATATTCCACTTATATCAGAATTCATAACCATCCTAAATACCAAATTTTTAAACAACTGTGAAATGAGTGAAAATTTAACAATTAAGAATATATCAAATATAGCACTAGCAAGTTAAAATTTTATTCAAATATTATAATATAAGTCTTTATTCGTTACTGTTATTATATTATTCTATTTAGTTTTAAGAGTGTACATAATTTGTTAGCTAGTTTTAAGAGTGTACATAATTTGTTAACTAGTTTTAAGAAATACTAACTCAATGAAGTATGTTTTTTTTTAAGCTATTTTCATACTAACCAAAATAAGAGCATCAATTTAAGCAAATAGACCTAAGTATATATATAAAATTCCATAGTAAATTGTAATAATGCCGCAAGGCAGGTGTACAATTAAAAATATCACATGTAACATACAACTATTGTAATATGTAAACAATTCTAAGGAAAATAAATAGTTTTGAAATCAATCAGAAGGTTCTCGAAACGAAATCTAGGAGTTATAATGGCCCGTACGAAGCAGACAGCTCGCAAGTCCACCGGTGGCAAGGCGCCCCGTAAGCAGCTTGCAACGAAAGCGGCTCGCAAGAGCGCGCCGGCGACCGGCGGTGTGAAGAAGCCGCATCGTTATCGGCCTGGCACCGTAGCTCTGCGTGAGATCCGTCGTTACCAGAAGAGCACCGAGCTTCTCATACGAAAGTTGCCGTTCCAACGTCTAGTGCGCGAGATCGCTCAGGACTTCAAGACCGATCTGCGTTTTCAGAGCTCCGCCGTCATGGCATTGCAGGAAGCTAGCGAGGCCTATTTGGTTGGCCTGTTCGAAGATACAAACTTGTGCGCGATCCACGCCAAGCGCGTAACCATCATGCCCAAGGATATTCAACTAGCTCGGCGTATTCGAGGAGAACGCGCTTAGACGCCTGTCGTCCTATAAAACAAATCGGTCCTTTTCAGGACCACCAAAATGATCAATTAAAAGAACTTTTATTATTTTTCAAATTATTTTATTTTGCAGAATTATTCCATCGATACGTTAGAAATTTTTATTGATTTTTTTTTTTAATTGAAATTATTGACAACACACATGATTTGACTTGTTGAATAGTGTGTTGTTGTGTTAAGTTTAAAAAATATTATAGTTGAATTTGTAAAATTCGTCATGAATTTCTGAAAGCTTCTTTAAAAAATTCTAAATTTAATTAATATGGGCGAGTTGCCGTTCTGATGATAGAAATTTATATTATATATATTATATTATATATATTTATATATATAAATATTTTTTTTTTATTGTATATTTTTTAATTTCATATATAGTTATTTAAAGTTATATAAATTTTCTTTTTCGAATACGATATGAAAAAAAGATTGAAACTTCATAAATTATTAATGATTATATTTTATTTCATTAATTAATTTCCATTTACTTATTATTTATATAAAAAAAAATTAGAAAAAATTATGAATTTAATTATTATGAGAGTTGCCGTTCTATGTATAGTTGATTTATTTAAAGTGATATATAAAACTTCGATTCGAGTCCGAGCAGCCGTAGTGTTCGCATCGCCCAGAAAATCTATAATCCCTGTGAATTTAAATGTGAAGTGATTCGTATTTAAAGTGAAATTTTTGTGAATATGTTACGTGGTGAAGTATTAAAAACTATTTATAATAATTATTAGTTCTATACAATTTATGGTCGACGTTAGACTATAACGTTGCCATTATGGCGGCGGATCAGGACTCTAACATTAGTGTCGCACAGCAACTGAACGAGGTACTGCCAGCGGGGCGATTTGTGCATATAAACAAATTTGCGCCATTAGCTTGTGCTGAACAAGATGAAGAAAATATTAAAAACGAAATGGAAGATGAATTTGTGACTACAAAACGCAAAAAACCTAACCCAACCGAACCGGAAACCTCAAATAAAAAACCCCAAAAAGAAGATCAATTTACCCAAAAAACAATGCCTGCAATTGTAGTTTTAGATGATTTAGGGAAAAATGATTATGTTAAACTTCTGGCAAAACAGTGTAAGAACAAATTGCATGTGCAATACAAAGGAAAACTGCACTACAGAATCACCACATACAGCGAAGTGGATTACAAAAATGTGTACGAAAGATTGAAACAAGACAACAAGAAATTTTACACTTTTCCACAGAAGGGATCTGAGCTTATAAAAATTGTTGCTGCAGGAATTCCACCTTACGTGACAAGTGATGAAATTTATCAAGAACTGATCATAGAATTCTGCAGAATTGAAAAAGTTATTCAAATGACTAAAACCAACGTGTTAGGTGAAAAAATAAAACTACCAGTTTTCGTGCTTTTCTTTCATCATGAACAGGATATGGCTCGTATTAGAAACAAAAAACACCTAGCAGGGTACGCAGTCAAATGGGACAAATATAGATCGAATGGAAACATTATACAGTGCTACAACTGCCAAAATTTTGGTCACACTTCTTCTTATTGCAACCTTCAGAATAGATGTGTGAAATGTACAAAACCCCACGAGGCGTTCAGCTGCCCCAAAACCAAAGCGGAACCAGCTCAGTGCATCAACTGTCTAGGTAACCACCCTGCAAATTTCAAGTCATGCCCGAAACTACTGGAAATTAAAGCTAGAAGAGAACAACTAAAAATCAAGGCCAGACAAAATGTCTATATCCCGGCACCTGCTCCTCTACCGTTAACTAGAAAGTTCAATTCAGTGCTACAACAGAGAGAGTTTCCAGCGCTACCTGAGCGAATGACAAATACCCTACCCTTACCTCAGAATCAAGTTCCATCGCCGCACCCTCAACAACAAGCCGCTCTGGATCAAGAAACAGGTACACAACCGCAGGCCAATAATTTTAATTTATCAGGTATGTTTACATCGTTTAAATTCATTCAAGAGGTTTTTGCAAAACCGGCAATAAAATCATCTCTTGAAAAAATTTTAAAATTAGCCCAAACTTTAAATTCAGCAAATGAAAATGAATATGATAATATATTAATTAATCATTTTATCTTTGGGAAATGATTTTAAAAATTAACGAATTAAATATACTTTACTGGAATGCACGCAGCATTAAGGCAAAAGCTTCTGAATTTAAACTATTACTTACTCATAACAACATACACATAGCATTGGTTTCCGAAACGTTTTTAAAGTCACATATAAATTTTTCTATTTATGGTTACAAAATCTACAGAAACGATAAAGATGACATCAAAGGTCGTGGAACCGCTATTTTTATCAAAAATAACATCCCACATACCCATATTCCTACCCCTGTTCTTAATAATATAGAAGCAACTATTATTTCAATAGAATCTAATTTGGGACAAATAGCTTTTATTTCCAGTTATATTCCTGGCCATAAACTCGATACCAATGACTTAGACGCTTTGCTCAACCTTTTTCCTAAAGTTTTTATGGCAGGCGATTTTAACTCTAGACATCCACTCTGGAACTGTACTAACAATAACTATAATGGCCTAGTTTTACATGAATACCTACTAGACAACATAGATACAGTTCAATTGCATTATCCTCTATCTCATACCTATTATCCAGATAATTGCAACTGGTCCCCAAGCACTATCGACCTTGCAATCACTCGAAATTTGTTCCATGTTGCAACTCCACACACTCTCACTGCCTCTAGCTCGGACCATAATCCAGTAATAACATCTGTAGCTATTGATAATTTAGCAGTTAACAATAGCAACGATAAAAACTTTCTTGATTACAAACGCGCTCATTGGAAATTATTTAGAATGCATATAAACAATCAAATAACAACCAAAATTTCTTTAGATACTACAGAACAAATTGACAAGGCAATAACAAATCTTAACGAGTGTGTGAGAAATGCAATTAACAAATCAATTCCCACCCAAAAATCCTCATCAAATCCCAACTCTTTACCACAGAATATACTTGCAGACATTAAGTTAAAAAATTATGTTCGTAAACAATGGCAAAACACAAGAGACCCGAACATCAAACAATTACTTAACAAACTATCCAGACAGATCTCAACTGACATCAAAGAATACCACAACATCACCTGGAAAAACAAGCTAGATAACATTAATTCAGGGTTCAACACAATATGGACCACGGCCAGAAAACTGACCAAAAAACAATCCGACATACCTACACTTATTACAAACAACACATTGCATACCTCGGACTCTGAAAAAGCCAACGCCATTGGAAATGAATTACTTAAAATTCATAAACAAAATGAAGACTTAGGGCACGACAATTCATTAAAATTAGTCCGAAAAACAAACAAAAAATTTTTCAAATCCACAACAGCTAAACGGAACATTAAACTTTGGATCAAACCCAAAGACGTGACAACATTTATAAATAAAATAAAAGGCCGAAAAGCCCCAGGACATGACAATATACAAAATATAATTATTAAAAACCTTCCCATAAAAGCCATAATCCTTCTTACTAAAATTATCAATAGCATCATTGATACAGGCTACTTTCCCAATCAGTGGAAAATTTCAAACATACTTCCTTTCCTTAAACCCGGAAAGCCTCCCCATCTCCCCAATAGCTACCGTCCCATTAGTCTTCTATGCTCGTTCAGTAAATTAGTAGAGAAAGTTATATTAAAACATATCAACAAACATATCACCAGTAATAATCTCCTTCCTGAAACACAATATGGATTTAGACCTAAGCACTCAACAGCACATCCACTCACTATACTTACAAAACACGTTAAAAATAAATTAGCTAACAAAAAACTTACAGGAATGCTTCTATTAGATATCGAAAAGGCTTTTGACACTATCTGGCATGATGCACTTCTATACAAAATGATTATTAAAAAATTTCCCTCCAACATTATCCACCTCACCAAATCTTACTTAACTGATAGATTTTTTATGGTTTCTGTAAATCCGGCAAGATCCTCACTGTACCCAGTGCCATACGGGTTACCGCAAGGATCAATTCTCTCACCTACACTTTTTAATTTTTACATTCACGATATACCACACGACGATAACACCACGCTATTAACATACGCAGATGACACTGCAATTTTCGCTTCGGGTACAAATTTCAAAAAAATTCATAAAAAACTTCTAACACACTTTAATAAACTATCTAGCTATTTTACCGAATGGAAAATAAGAATAAACGTAGAAAAAACCAATGCTATCATATTTACCAACAAAAGAAACAACTATATATTGCAAGGACCTCTTAATGTAGGCGATGTAAACTTTAATTGGGTTGACAAGGTAAAGTATCTAGGTATTACACTAGATAAAAAACTAAAATTCAATGAACACATAAAAACAAGAGCAAACTTATCTATAGCTATTATGAATAAGCTACATCCAATAATTGGTGCTCACTCCAAACTTAATATACACAATAAACGACTACTATATTTATCATTAGTAAGACCAATTTTAACATATGGATCTCCGGTATGGAGAAACACAACAAAAACTAATTTAGCAATAATGCAAAGACTACAAAATAAATACATTAGATTAATATTGGGAATTAGTAGAAACCCAATAACCAAAAGATATGTATCAAATGAAAAAATTCATAATTCTATCAATATTCCATACATAACAGAATACATTACAAAGCTCACTACTAATTTTCAATCTAATTGTAGAACACATGTAAATACAACCATAGCAAATATAACTGAACAAATTTCATAAATTTCTTATAACTTAGTATAATCTGTACATTGTTATTTAGTTGTAAATATATATTTTAATTATCTTTTGTTAACTAGTTGTAAGAACACTTGATGGCAGTATGTTTTTAATAGCTCTTTTCATACTTATATAAGCTAATTGAAACAATTATATATATATGCTAACAATATTATATTATGATAGTATAATGATATTCCCAGAATAGGTGTATACAATTTGTATCTTTATGTAA